TCAGTCCTGACAAGGGGCCAATTCCCCCGGACTCCGCCGCCAACCCCTCCCTGACCTCTCGTTTCTCGCTGTTGTGGCCAGCCGGGGGCTCCTTCGATCAGAAGTGACAAGGCTGTCTGGTCATTCACCTCACTAAGCCCATGCTGGCCCCGAAAGGACATTGGTCAGAACTTGGTGTACTGTCTTGAAGGAACACAGTGAATTGCCCTGGGTCATGACCCCCGCCGGCGATGCTTGCAGCTGAGGCTCCCTGACGATCCTGCCAAACACAGAAAAGCTGCACCCTCCTTTTTAAATTTCCTTTTTTACATTACAGTCAGAACCCCTCAACCACCAGGGCCACTGCTGAGTTCCCATGCTCTGCCACACCCCCTTGAGGCCCACGGTGCCCTGCAATAGAGTTAAAGTCACATATTGATTAAGAACGCACAATTTAAAATAAAAAAACTTTGCAAAGTGTTGGGGTATGGGATGTCCTGGGGCCACAACCCTCAAGAGCCGAATTCCTGACTGCAGTGACTAGAGATTCTGAGACCCAGGGAAACTTGGATGACAAAGAACTGGGTACAGATTTGCAGTCGTCCATGAAGCTTTCCTATTGTCATAGATGAGTCACTATTTTTCAGGCCTTACCTTACAAGTTTTTTGTTTAGTTCACTGTGGCTACGGGGAGGGATTATGTACCTCACTTGGAGCTCTGTGGAGGAAAAGTGAGTTGTAATCACAACAAATAAGAAGAAAAATTAGTACTGTACTGGATAAGGCTACTCTTCTGTATTTACTTAATCTGAGTGTAAGCCCCATAGAACTTTGAGATGTCTGACTAGACCTACTTTTGCAGTGGGAAGGGTCATTCACAAAAACTGTTTACTTTCATCAGTGTAAAGGTTGTAAAATACAATCTGGCTGAAAGAATGAACAAACAGATGTTTATGAAGCACATCAGTTTGCAAAAATATTTGTTAAAATATATCCAGTTATTACAATATAAACCTATAATGTAAAACTACATAAAAGCAACATTAAAAAAAAACCAACCTACTTTAGGAATGCCTGCCGGGAAGAGCTGCAAAAAGTATTCCTGTATCTCTAAATGAAAACAAGAATGCATGGATTTTACAGATGTTATTTTGCAATCTTTTAGTAGTGAGAGAAGTGGAATTTTTGACCTCACTAATAAAGTAATAATCAAATTCAAACTGCTGTTAAGGAGGGACGCAAAAAGACCTATACCATAGAATCTACTGGCGGCAGATTCTGCAAAGGACAGATTGGAAAAGTTACTTTTTAGCATTAGCCATGTCAGGTGGGGGATCCTGGCAGTTATGGTCCAAAATACTACTTTTTAAAGCTCTGCTAAAGAGATTCTGTACAGTGTCAAACTATTTATTTATTTATTCTATTTATATCCCGCCTATCTAGTGATTGCGACCACTCTAGGCGGCTAGGAGTGTGGAACTCTGCTTTGAAATCCCCATTTGTTTTTAACTTCATTGAATGGCTCTGAGCCAGCCAGGCTTCTACTTTTTAAAGCTCTGCTGAAGAGATTCTGTACAGTGTCAGACCAGGAGTGTGAAAGTCTGCTTCAAAATCCCCATTCTTTTTAAACGTCATTGAATGGCTCTGAGCCAGCCAGGCTTTGTGCCTTATGTGTTGCTGAAATTAGCTTTAGAAGCTGTCATATGAAAAACATACTGTACAGGCCCATACTGTACATATAGACCCATTAGGTCTGTTATGTCTGTTCCGTTCCAAGGCATTGGTCAAACACTTTCTAAACTAGCCAGACAATCAAAAATAATAAACCCATTGCATCCTATTATTTTAATGGTAGAAACAATTAAGCTTGCTCAGAACAACCTGCTTTTCATCATAGTACATCAAAGCTAAGTATCCTATCCATGGCTTCACATTCCATGCTCTAGAATTACCACAGCAACCACCCTGAGAACCAGAATCAATCAAGAGAAAAGAATGGTTCTTGTCACCGAAGCATCTCACCATTGTGGCTGGGAACTCCCCCATTTCCATAGGTCCCTTGCACTTTCTGACAGCATCATCATAATGTACAGTCAAGTCAATTTTGACTTAACGGCGAACCTTTTCAGGATCTTCCAGTTAGAAAATGATTAGATTAGATTAGATTAGATTAGATTAGATTAGATTAGATTAGATTAGATTAGATTAGATTAGATTAGATTAGATTAGATTAGATTAGATTAGATTAGATTAGATTAGATTAGATTAGATTAGATTAGATTAGATTAGATTAGATTAGATTAGATTAGATTAGATTAGATTAGATTAGATTAGATTAGATTAGATTAGATTAGATTAGATTAGATTAGATTAGATTAGATTAGATTAGATTAGATTAGATTAGATTAGATTAGATTAGATTAGATTAGATTAGATTAGATTAGATTAGATTAGATTAGATTAGATTAGATTAGATTAGATTAGATTAGATTAGATTAGATTAGATTAGATTAGATTAGATTAGATTAGATTAGATTAGATTAGATTAGATTAGATTAGATTAGATTAGATTAGATTAGATTAGATTAGATTAGATTAGATTAGATTAGATTAGATTAGATTAGATTAGATTAGATTAGATTAGATTAGATTAGATTAGATTAGATTAGATTAGATTAGATTAGATTAGATTAGATTAGATTAGATTAGATTAGATTAGATTAGATTAGATTAGATTAGATTAGATTAGATTAGATTAGATTAGATTAGATTAGATTAGATTAGATTAGATTAGATTAGATTAGATTAGATTAGATTAGATTAGATTAGATTAGATTAGATTAGATTAGATTAGATTAGATTAGATTAGATTAGATTAGATTAGATTAGATTAGATTAGATTAGATTAGATTAGATTAGATTAGATTAGATTAGATTAGATTAGATTAGATTAGATTAGATTAGATTAGATTAGATTAGATTAGATTAGATTAGATTAGATTAGATTAGATTAGATTAGATTAGATTAGATTAGATTAGATTAGATTAGATTAGATTAGATTAGATTAGATTAGATTAGATTAGATTAGATTAGATTAGATTAGATTAGATTAGATTAGATTAGATTAGATTAGATTAGATTAGATTAGATTAGATTAGATTAGATTAGATTAGATTAGATTAGATTAGATTAGATTAGATTAGATTAGATTAGATTAGATTAGATTAGATTAGATTAGATTAGATTAGATTAGATTAGATTAGATTAGATTAGATTAGATTAGATTAGATTAGATTAGATTAGATTAGATTAGATTAGATTAGATTAGATTAGATTAGATTAGATTAGATTAGATTAGATTAGATTAGATTAGATTAGATTAGATTAGATTAGATTAGATTAGATTAGATTAGATTAGATTAGATTAGATTAGATTAGATTAGATTAGATTAGATTAGATTAGATTAGATTAGATTAGATTAGATTAGATTAGATTAGATTAGATTAGATTAGATTAGATTAGATTAGATTAGATTAGATTAGATTAGATTAGATTAGATTAGATTAGATTAGATTAGATTAGATTAGATTAGATTAGATTAGATTAGATTAGATTAGATTAGATTAGATTAGATTAGATTAGATTAGATTAGATTAGATTAGATTAGATTAGATTAGATTAGATTAGATTAGATTAGATTAGATTAGATTAGATTAGATTAGATTAGATTAGATTAGATTAGATTAGATTAGATTAGATTAGATTAGATTAGATTAGATTAGATTAGATTAGATTAGATTAGATTAGATTAGATTAGATTAGATTAGATTAGATTAGATTAGATTAGATTAGATTAGATTAGATTAGATTAGATTAGATTAGATTAGATTAGATTAGATTAGATTAGATTAGATTAGATTAGATTAGATTAGATTAGATTAGATTAGATTAGATTAGATTAGATTAGATTAGATTAGATTAGATTAGATTAGATTAGATTAGATTAGATTAGATTAGATTAGATTAGATTAGATTAGATTAGATTAGATTAGATTAGATTAGATTAGATTAGATTAGATTAGATTAGATTAGATTAGATTAGATTAGATTAGATTAGATTAGATTAGATTAGATTAGATTAGATTAGATTAGATTAGATTAGATTAGATTAGATTAGATTAGATTAGATTAGATTAGATTAGATTAGATTAGATTAGATTAGATTAGATTAGATTAGATTAGATTAGATTAGATTAGATTAGATTAGATTAGATTAGATTAGATTAGATTAGATTAGATTAGATTAGATTAGATTAGATTAGATTAGATTAGATTAGATTAGATTAGATTAGATTAGATTAGATTAGATTAGATTAGATTAGATTAGATTAGATTAGATTAGATTAGATTAGATTAGATTAGATTAGATTAGATTAGATTAGATTAGATTAGATTAGATTAGATTAGATTAGATTAGATTAGATTAGATTAGATTAGATTAGATTAGATTAGATTAGATTAGATTAGATTAGATTAGATTAGATTAGATTAGATTAGATTAGATTAGATTAGATTAGATTAGATTAGATTAGATTAGATTAGATTAGATTAGATTAGATTAGATTAGATTAGATTAGATTAGATTAGATTAGATTAGATTAGATTAGATTAGATTAGATTAGATTAGATTAGATTAGATTAGATTAGATTAGATTAGATTAGATTAGATTAGATTAGATTAGATTAGATTAGATTAGATTAGATTAGATTAGATTAG